TCATGAATATTCCATTCCTTGGTTAAAGAAACCCATAAAGATTGAAGCCCTAATCACTGCTGGGCAAGACTGGCTCTCTTGAGCACTTATTTTCACTTTGCAATAAACCTCTGTACTTTCACTATTTTCTGACTTGTCCTTTGATTCTTTCTGGCAATGGTGGTAAGGGCATGGGCCCTGGCTGGGATCAACAACCTAACAGCATTTGGTCAGGCTGCCCTCGAACTCCACTAAATACAAAATTAACCTCCTAGCTGTCCTTGTTCATTGCTGGGCGTAGACTGAACTAACTTTGGGAGAAACTTAGTTTATAGTTTAAAACAAAGACTACAGGCTGGGCATGCGTGGTGGCTCATGCCTATAATCTCAGCACTTTGGGAGGCCAAAGTCAGTGAATCACGAGGTCAGGAGTTCAAGACCAGACTGGCCAAGATGGTGAAACTCCGTCTCTACCAAAAATACAAAAATTAGCCAGGTGTGGTAGCAGGCACCGTAATCCCAGCTGAGGCAGGAGAGTCACTTGAACCCAGGTGGCAGAGGTTGCAGAGGGCCGAGATCGCACTGCTTCGCGCCATTGAACTCCAGCCTGGGTGATAGAGTGACTCTTGTCTCAAAAGAAAAAAAAAAAAAAAGACCTATAATAGCCCTTTCCCAGGGCAGACCTCCTTCTTGCCTGGGGACTAGATGCAAACATTAGCCGCAGGATTTGAAATTATGGTGTAGGAGTCAGGCAACTGGAGGCTAAAAGATGCAGATCCTGCTTAAACTGCTCCTAAGATCAGCACTTGATGAGTCAGCAGGCACCACCCAGATTGATAAACTGCTTCATCTGATCTTGTGTGCAGGCCTCAGCCTCCCAAAATGCTGGGATTACAGGCGTGAGCCACCGTGCCTGGCCAATTTATTTCTTTCTTTTGTTTTCTTTTTCTTCTAGTCAATCTTGAAAGATGCTAGAAGTACAACATTTTCTTTTCTTTTCTTGCTCTGTCACCCAGGCTGGAGTGCAATAGTGCACTCTTGGCTTACTGCAACCTCTGCCTCCTGAGTTCAAGTGATTCTCTTGCCTCAACCTCCTAACAGATTACAATCACAGGCCACCATGCCTGGTTAATTTTTTGTGTGTTTTTAGTGGAGGTTAGGTTTCACTTGCTCTCCACTAAAAGTTGGCCAGGCTAGTTTCGCTCTTCTAGCTTCAATAGCCTCAAGTGATCTGCCTGCCTCGGGCAATACAACTCTTTTTTAATGTGAAAAAAAAAAAAAATACACAATGTATCTCAATTAACCAATAGGGATATAAAGTATCTGATTTAACATAGAGAATTCACAAGGGGCGGTATGTTGCAGCTCACCTCTGTAATCCCAGCAGGTTATAAGGCTGAGGCAGGTGGATCGCTTGAGCCCAGAAGTTTGAGACCAGCCTGGGCAACATGGTGGAACCCCATTTCTACAAAAAATACTAAAAGTAGTTGGGCATGGGTGGTGGCTCAGATCTGTAGTCCCAGGTTCTGGGGAGGCTAAGGTGGGAAGATTAGCACTCCAGCCTTTGTGACAGAGCAAGATCCTATCTCAAGAAAAAAAAAAAGAAAAAGAATGTACACCTTTGAAAAACACAAATGTCAGTGTGGTAGGGCACAGAAAGGTGTGAGACCCAAAGGTTCACAGCTTGAACTATAACAAAAAAGAGGTTAACAAATGAAAAGCATAAGAAATGGATCTAATCAAAGTTTTACCTGACACTGGAGACTTTAGAAATGAAGCTCCAAAGACCCAAGGAAAACTGTCTGTTTTCATAGGTACCTCCAATGAAGAATAGAGAGACATTTAGAAATGTGATTAGGCAAAGACAGTATTGAAGAAACAGCACGGCTTGTCTGTTCAGATTCTTCTCCACCTCTGTGTGTAGCATCCTGTTCTCCAGGTATGGCAGGACGCCTTTGGAATGAGAGTCTTCAAGGGAGAAGGGACAGTGACTTTCTAGGTTTTAAGGCTTGCTTTGGGGGAGAGGAGTTGTAGTTTCCATGACCTGCTTTGGGAAAGAGACCTTCTGGTTTCTATGACTCCCTTCCAGCAGAGAAACGACAGGAGAAAGTACTCAGCATACAAAGATGCCATACTTTGAGGCATTATGTTCTGAGCCCCCCAAAATGTAAATACTCCTAGAGCAAAACTTTTTTTTTTTTTTGAGATGGAGTCTTGCACTGTCACCTAGGCTGGAGTTCAGTGGTGCGATCTCTGCTCACTGCAACCTCTGCTTATTGGGTTCAAGCAATTCTCTTGCCACAGCCTCCTGAATAGCTGGGATTACAGGCATGTGCCACTATGACCAGCTAGTTTTTGTATGTATTTTTAGTAAAGACAGGGTTTCACCATGTTGGCCAAGCTGGTCACAAATTCCTAACTTAAGGTGATCCACCTACCTCAGCCTCCTTGAGTGCTGGGACTACAGGAGTGAGCCACCTCATGCCCAAGGGCAAAATATTTTCTAGGCAATCAAGTAAACCAGAGATCTTTCAAAGGATTGTGAAAGGAAAATAAATCTCAGTACCCCAAAACCACTAAGCCAAGGAAAAGTCAAGCTGTGAACTGTGTCAGGCAAACCTGCCTTTCATTTTATTCCTAAATAAGATAGCTACAATAAAAAGCTATAAACCTCCCTTGCAATATTCCCACAAGGAAATTCCTTGTGGACAAAGGATACAGAGAACTCAAAGTCATCCCTCTGAGGCTCAACTGAGACATATGTGTATCTGATTGCTCCCTCTGCCCTATTGTATATGTAAAAATGCAGATTCACTTTACCAGACTAAATTGTCTATTCAGTGGAAGGCTGATCAAGGACTCAAAATAATGCCACCTTTTGTCTTGACTCCTCTTCTAACCTGGAAGCCCCCACTTGGAGTTGTCCTGCTTTACCGGACCGAACCCACGTACATCTTACACATATTGATCGATATCTTATGTCTCCCTAAAATGTATAAAAGCAAGCTGTACCCCAACCACCTTGGGCACATGTTGCCAGGACCTTCTCAGGCTGTGTCACGGGTGCATCCTTAGCCTTGGTAAAATAAACTTTCTAAATTGATACCTTTTGGTTTACACGATGTTATACAAGGAACCAGAATATTCCTCCCCAAAAATATGCCACTTGGCTATAAGAATTATTTTGAGAAACAGCCGATACAGAAAAAGCACTGAAAATGGTAAAAGTTTCTGTTTTGTAAAAGAAAAACAACAAAAACGAACAAAACTTCCATTTATAAAAGACATTTCCCTTGGTAAAGATGTCCTCCTTGGTTATACCAGAAGAGGAGAATGGCCCCCAGAGACAATTCTTGCCACCTGAGATGACTTGAACCTGCATACAAGACTGTATTAGATAATCCTTATCTTCCATTAGTTTATTCCATATATTTTCCTTCCTACAATTTACTCCGCTAGGAAACGACCCCCTCTTTAAAATGGTATACAACCCCCCATGTCTGTCTCTCTGCCTCCTTGGGCTTTTACTCGCCTTCTGTGAAGGCTGCCACATGGATATGTATAACAATAAATATTTTCCCCTATTGATCTGTCTTTTGTCAGTTTAATTTGTAGGGCCCAACTACAAAGTCTAACAGTGTAAAAGGAAAGTTTCATATACTACAGTTTCTTTTACCACATAAAGGGGCACTTAAAAGGTTTTTCAATGCTTCCAGATTTCATCTTGAAATAGTTTGTTATAAAATAACATATACAAGAACAGTGCATTTTAATGCTGCCTCATTTTTCTGTAGTTGGAAAAGAGGAATTGCTGAGATTAATGGGCCACAAGAGACACAGGATTTAAACCTCCAAGGTTAAGGACCTAGGTTCCACTGTTAAAAGAGGGGGAAAAAGAATCCAGCCTAGTTCAGTGAGAAATTGATTAACAGAACATGAGTAATGTAATGTTTTGTACATACAGAAAACATAGTTTATAATATACTCGAAGAGACTGATTTTTAGAATAAAATTAGATTATTAAAGGAGTAAATAATCAAACACATTTGAAATATAAAAGGTAAACGTTACTGATGTTCAGGAATAAAAAGAGTGAATGTCAGCAGAGAGAAAATCTGATATCTGGAGGTGTGCATGTCAGGGCTAGAGAAAGGTGATTCCAAACACCTTAAGTCAAGAAAGTCACCCAACACTCTCCCTTTGAAACTCTTTTTATTGGAATAAAGTCATCCTTGGTCTCTCCCTCCTGCACTTTATTTGTAAGTTTAAAAGACAGGGTTTCTGGGCACAGCTGATTCCCTAGTTCAACAGAAAAGAATGGGGGAGCTCAAGTGGTATGTCCACCACTATAAGAAAATAGAGGGTAAAAGCCACCTTTCTTCCTCAACCAGCTTCCTGAAGTGTTTCTAGGTGAATGAGGAAAAATATAGAAAGTCAGTTTTTCCCCCAAAAATGTGGTCAGCGAGGGAGACAAAGAAAGAAAGGACGGCTACAGAAAGAGCAAAACCTAAGGAAAATAAAAGAGAACCAAATTTGAGAAAAGGTGAGAAATTTCACCTTCAAGCTCTCATCAGGCGTCGTCCTTTGCAGTCAGCCACTCCATAGGCTGATCACTTTGAGATTGTAGGAAGCAGTTTCTACACACTATTTCACAAATGCCCCAAGCCACTGTGATTATCCCTCTAGAGAGAGCGCCACTAGGTTCCAGCAGCCACAAGGCACTAGAGCAATGGATGCTTAGAGGTGACAGGGAAAACAGACAGCGAAGACTCAAAGGAAAATCCCTGCAGCGGTGCTCAGCGCAAAACACTGTGGAAGGGCAAGGTGAACGGAGTATTTTTAATTGGGCATCATTTTTAGAAACTCGAGTTTAAGCACCGCCCTTTCTATGTTTTCCTGAAGTCGTGGGCAGGGCTCAAGGTCTGTAAATTGAGTGACCGGATGCAGCTGGTGTGAGAGTTCTCAATCAGGTCCGACTTATCACTATATAAACTGCTGCTGCGAGGGTCGCTTTCTTGCGTTCTCCTTAGAACAAAGCATGTCTGGCCGCGGCAAAGGCGGGAAGGGGCTGGGGAAGGGAGGAGCCAAGCGCCACCGCAAGGTGCTGCGCGACAACATCCAGGGCATCACCAAGCCCGCCATCCGGCGCCTGGCTCGCCGCGGCGGCGTGAAGCGCATCTCCGGCCTCATCTACGAGGAGACCCGCGGGGTGCTCAAGGTGTTCCTGGAGAACGTGATCCGGGACGCCGTGACCTACACGGAGCACGCCAAGCGCAAGACGGTCACCGCCATGGACGTGGTGTACGCGCTCAAGCGCCAGGGCCGCACCCTCTACGGCTTCGGCGGCTGAGCGTTTCACTTGCTTATCCCGTTCCTCCAAGGTCCTTCTCAGGGCCACCCATGAAATCTGTGAAAGAGCTGTAGACTAAAGACCCTTGATTTCCTAACACCTAAACATTTGGCAGTTTTGTCAAAATAGCGGTTTTACATAAACAGTCGCCAAGGTTACTGCAACTCAGTGCCCCTTTCGGCATCACCTAGTGGTTAGAAGTGCCGGATCCTCTGATAGACGACCAAATGTATAACGCCTCTGATTTCTCCAAAAGCTACGATAGCATAACGGCCGGGTTCATGTAGCTTGTATGGATTACTTCAACTGCAAGGGCCGTGTAACTGACAGCGTGGTCCGCAACACCCAAAATGCTTCACTATCGCCCTTCGCAGAAAGTCGGTCCACCCTCAAAACATTAAGTACGTTTAAATCAGAAATTACCGCAAGTCTCGAATTTCATACTCCCTTCAATGCCTTCATTTTACAAATTGACTCGTTTCACTTTTCTTTCACGATCTTAAACTTTTTGTCAAATAATAGTGACGCCTAACAGTTAAAATAGTGTAAGGCAAGTTTAGATCTTCAAGCTGACATTGAAATAGGATTTTGATGCATGAAAAATCCTACAGTTTTGGGGGTTTTTTGTTTCCGTTTTTGTTTTGCTCGCAAAACCCATTTTACGTTTCTTGACGCACAGCAGAGGCAGAATGTTTCCCTTTCAACAGCGGATTCAACTGGGAGCCAATTCTGTGAGTGAGACGTAACACGCCACAGTCTACTGTCCAATCAGAATGCGAGGGCGGCTATAAATACCGGGATGGTCAATTTTTTTTCTCGTTTGCGGGGAGCAGTTGGGTCTACTTAGCCATGGCAAGAACTAAGCAAACAGCCCGCAAGTCCACCGGCGGCAAAGCGCCGCGCAAGCAGCTAGCCACGAAGGCAGCCCGCAAGAGCGCCCCGGCCACCGGCGGCGTGAAGAAGCCGCACCGCTACCGGCCCGGCACCGTGGCCCTGCGCGAGATCCGCCGCTACCAGAAGTCCACCGAGCTGCTGATCAGAAAGCTGCCTTTTCAGCGCCTGGTGCGCGAGATCGCGCAGGACTTCAAGACCGACCTGCGCTTCCAGAGCTCCGCGGTGATGGCGCTGCAGGAGGCCTGCGAGGCCTACCTGGTGGGGCTCTTTGAGGACACCAACCTGTGCGCCATCCACGCCAAGCGGGTGACTATCATGCCCAAGGACATCCAGCTCGCGCGTCGTATCCGAGGCGAGAGGGCATAAATTTGTTCATAACAGCCCAAAAAGTCTTCCCCACCCCAAAAGGCTCTTTTCAGAGCCCCTCAATTGTCAGCAAAAGAAAGCTGTAGCTTTTGAAACTGTCGTAACCCTGTTTTAAGTGCAAGTTACATACAAAACGTGTTGGCTCAACGCTGTAAAGCCAGGAGTCAGGTCACAGGCTGGTATGCTAACCCGATTCCCTTTACAGAACCTACTCCTAACTGTTAAGGAGATTTACTTTTGAAAAGCATTCCTGTTCTTATTCTTGAGGAATGTATATGCTACTTAGCTACCTGCCCCTAACGAAGGGAACAAGCAGTATGAGTGTTTAAGAAACAGTCTTAGCCGGGCGGGTGGCTCACGCTTGTAGTCAGAGCACTTTGGGAGACCGAGGCGGGCAGATCATCTGGAGTCAGGAACTCGAGACCAGCTTCACCAATGTGGAGAAACGCGGCCTCTACTAAAACTACAATTAGCCGGGTGTGGTGGCGCCCACCTGTAAACCTAGGTACTCTGGAGACTGAGGTAGCAGAATCGCTAGAACGCAGGAGAGGTTGAGGTGAACCGAGATCCCCCGCATTGCACTCCAGACTGGGCAACAACAGCAAAACTCCGTCTCAGAAAACACCACAGGCTCTATGCTGGGCGCCGAGCTCACCCTGCAATCTCTGCAGTTTGGGAGGCCAAGAGGGGCGGATTGCCAGGTCAGGAGATCGAGAGATGGTGTTGAAACCCCATCTCTACTAAAAATACAAAAATTAGCGGGGCGCGGTGGCAGGCGCCTGTCAGTCCCAGCTACTCAGGAGGCTGAAGCAGGAGAATGGCTTCAACCCGACAGGCGGAGGTTGCAGTCAGCTGAGATCGCGCCCCTGCTTTCCAACCTGGCGACAGAGCCAACTCCGTCTCAAAAAAACAAACATCAAAAAAAACAGCCTCTAAAAACTTCACCTGTGAGACAGTGTAACAATAGACAATGAGGACTCAGAAGGGAAGAGAGAGTTAATAAGTTACTTAGTTGGTACAATTTATTTAGCTCTTGTATACCCTATGTAACTTGACCACCATGGAACCTATGCATGTAAGAAAGTTGCCCTTCCACCCTCATAAATTTCTGCAAGTAACAGTTTTGACCAAAAGCACACTTTTGTTCTGTTTCAATGTAATGTTTAGCAAGCCATGTGGGCCCCAGAAGACAGAATCATTAACCTGCTGCATGCTGTCATCTGCGAAATGAACTTCTTTCTCTGTAAGTGGACCTTAAAAAATATTTCCGGGCAGGGCGGGGTGGCTCAGGCCTGCAATCCCAGCACTTTGGGAGGCTGAGGCGGGTGGATCACGAAGTCAGGAGTTTGAGTCCAGCCTGGCTAATATGGTGGAACCCTGTCTCTGCTAAAAATACAAAAATTAGCCAGGCGTGTTGGCAAGCACCTATAGTCCCAACTATTCGGGAGGCTGAGGCAGGAGACTCGCTTGAACCCAGGAGGCGGAGGTTGCAATGAGCCGAGATCAAGCCCCTGCACTCCAGCCTGGGCAACAGAGTGAGACTCCATCTCAAACAAACAACAAAAAAACAAAACTTTCAGGCCGGGCCAGTTCCTCACGCCTGTAATCCCCGCAGTTTGGGAGGCCAAGGCAGGTGGATCACAAGGTCAGGAGATCAAGAACATCCTGGCTAACATGGTGAAACCGCACCTGTAGTCCCAGCTACTGGGGAGACTGAGGCAGGAGAATCGCTTGAACCTGGGAGGCAGAGGTTGCAGTCAGCCAACATCAGGCCTCTGCACTCCAGCCTGGCAACAGAGCAAGATTCTGTCTCAAAAACAACAACTCTCCACCCCGACACACACACACATTTCACTGTCATTTTACAATGTGCTTGTCGTAAAGTGTGAAGTTGAATTTTCATGAGTTTTTGTTTTGTTTGTTTTTGTTTTGTTTTCAGTGAGAAGCAGTCTGAATATTAAAATTCAAGTGGTATTTTAAAGCTCTTCCTGGTTTCTAACCAAACTTGTCCAGTATTTCCAGCTGTTTAGTGTTTCCTCAGGTGCTCTTCATATGTGACTATCATGACCTCATTTTGCTGTTTAGCCTTTTGAAGTACACATCTTGACCTAGGAGATATCTGGCAGAGATGTGAAGGCAATTTTTCTCCTGAGTGCTCTCAGCCAGCTAAGGCCCCATCACACCTTCCCTTCTTTCTTATATTAGGTTCACTCTTGCAAAGAGGTGTCTACCCCAGCAACTGGTACAGCAGTATCCAACCTTTTGGCCTCCCTGGGCCACACTGGAAGAAGAATTGTCTTGGGCCACACAGAAAATACATGATCACTAAGGATAGCTGAAGAAAGAAAGAGAAAGAAAATAAAGAAAGAGAAAGAAGAAAAGATCTGTGCATAATTTTTGTCATATCCACCAACACAGATAAACAAAAAAGTCCTCACATTCAAAGGGTTGGAGACCTGTAAGACTTTTGGAAACTTAAGATTTGGTTCCAGAAAAAAAACCCCAAGAAACCAAAACAAACAAACAAACAAAAAAAAAAACAAAAAAACACAAAAACCAACCAAACAAACCACTTCTGACCCATGGGGCCAGAAGCTTTTTCCAACAATTTACTTAGAACTCTTTTAGTGGCTGTCTGCTAGGTGTAGGAACAGCTTGACACTGCCTCTTCCAAGCTTTGAAGATAGTTCTCTCCTCACCTCTTCAAGGATTTTCCCTCCAGAATGGAGCTGATGCCATTTCATAGGTTTAAAACTCAGAGCTGCCACTTCGTACCTGTATAACCTTTGGCAAGTTATTCATTGTCTCTGGGCCTCATCTTGTATAGCTGTAAATGTGGCAAATTAACAAAAACCTGTAGAACATATTTAAGGTGACTTTCTGGCACGTAATAAATGCTGAATGAGTATCAGCTCTTATTATTATACCCCTGCTACCATTACCCATGGAGTTTTGGGATTTTTTTCTCTTGCACCTTATACGTTTTTTGTATGCAACAGTGGAAAGTGCTTGGTTAGAGTATTTTCTTGTGAAGATATCCTCTTCCTTAGTTCTCAATTTGCATTCTTTGGTAAGAGGCCTAGAGCAATATCTGCGTCTCTGTGGAGAAATTTGTAACAACTAGATAATAGTTTAGGGTTTAAAGGCCATATCTAGTCTCTGTCACATGTTCTTTTTAGTGTTTAGTTTGCTTGTTTTTTGAGAGGATCTGGAGTGCAATGGTGCTATCACTGCTCACTGCAGCTTTGATACCTTGAATTCAAGTGATCCTCCCATCTCCACCTGCTCGGTAGCTAAGACTACAGGGATGTGCCACCACACCCGGCAATGGTTTTTGTATTTTTAGTAGAGATGGGATTTCACTATGTTGCCCAGGCTGGTCTGGAACTCCTGAGCTCAAGCAACCCACCTATCCAGGTCTCCCCAAGTGCTGGGATTACAGGCAGGAACCACCATGTGTGACCTTTTTAGGGACACTTCTTAGCTTGAGGGCCGTACAGGAAGAAGCCATTGCCCAGATTTGGCCACAGTCTGCCAGCACCTGCAGGAGTTCATGGAGAGAAGAGGGACTGTGCTGGCCGCTTTAAGTTTTCTCGCACAGCATTTCCAGGGTAAGAAACAAGCGACTGTTTATTTCATTAGAGATCCAAATCATTATCTTTTATCATTCAGGCATCCTGTCCATTCCCCTACACCTCCCATAAACAGCAAACTTCACATTCATTTCCACCTCACTGTATTTGCCTCAGTTGTTTTCCTGAGTTTTTATGAACCTCTATCATCTGAAGTCTCTCAATATCCAATACAACCTTTTAACAGTCAATAGCCAGATATTCTTCTAAAATATTAGTCTGTCTGCACTTAAACACACAAACATTCCCACATTGATGTATCCTAGCTGCTTACAGAAGAGAGTATTCCTGATGATGCAGCTTGTTAAATGTGGATGGAGATTCAGGGGGCGCAGTGAAAACATTTTGAAAACCTGACAGAGACCTGGGTCACCAAACAGTTTGTGCATCTGAGGATCACTGGGAGCTCTTGAATAATTTTCCGCAGATTTGAATTCTTTCTAAACTGAATTATCTATACTATTTTTCTTCCCCATTTTCATGGATTTTCCCAGGAACTAAACAGAGAAAATACTTTAG